TATATATATATATTATAATTATTCTCTCTTTCTTCTTTTTTATTATATTTTTATTATTAAAAAATTTTTTTAATAAATTAAGAGTAAAAGAAAATAATATATATATTAATAAAAAAATATAAGTTAATAATTTTAATTATAGTTAAAAATACTAACGATAACCTCTAATTGGAGTATTAACTGGTTTAATACCACTCTGAAAGGAGGCATTTGATGGATTTTGAGTGGGAGTTATGCCAACTGGGACAAGGCCAGTGTTAACGGGTGTACCACTTTGTAGATTTAATGGTTGATTTTGGCTTGTTATTACACGTCTTCTCAATTCCCCAGAAAGAAATACTGGAGATATTACATTGTGTGGAGAACTAGATTGTTGAGGTGTTTCTGTTCGTGATGGCACTTTATAAATTGGCTACAATAAAAGTTTTTTTTAGCAAATATTTTACTTTTTTATTCTTTTTTAATTTGTTTACTAGCTTATTAATATATTAATATATTAATAAAATAATAATGTAAAAATACTTATAAATATATAATATATAATAAATATAATGAATGATATATATAAAATATATATAAAATAAATATTTATAATGTTATTATAAATATATATCTATAGAAATAATTAAAAAATTAAAAAAAAGTTTAAATATTTCCTTTATATAATTACAGGAGATAATTGATCTGGAGCAAATTTTAATAAAATTTCTTTAGCTTTTTTATATGTTTCAGTTTCTGTAACTTCATCTAAAATTTTCTTTTTTTCTAATTGTATAGTACTTAATTTCTCTTCATTTTCAGAAATTTTACGTTTATAATACCATGTTACCATCTTTTTTGTAAGTAATATTCTGTAATAATAAATATATGTGAATAATTTCTGAATAATTTTATAAAGGAAACAAATATAATAGAATATATAATAAAATAGACACTTACAGAATTGGAAAAATTAAGAGTGGAATGATATAGAATATTTGATCATATAGTGATGCAGGAAAAAAATAAAAATAAAAAATGAATGCTGTTATAATATAAAGTATCACACTATATAATATTAGAGTTCCAACAATTTTTTTTGTGTTTTTGTTCTGTACTATGTCCATATTTTTCTATTTCTTTAATTTTCTGTTAAACAAAAATATTTGTGATCATTTTGAAATCATTAATATAAATATAAAAAAAAAAGATATAAATATTTTACCGCATCAAGATCTTCTAAAATTTCAATTGTTGTTTTCTTTCTCTGAAAAATAAAAAAATATATATACATAGTTTAAACATTTATTATAATTTAATTTTCATATGTAATCATTTCATATGCATTTTAAAGTATATAAAAATTTAATATATATACTAGAAATATTTTTACATAATATTGACTTTAATATATAAATATAAATATTAGATTAAAATGTAATTCAAATATTAAATTCAAATGAATTCAGAATTGTGAAGCAAGTATGTTCACAGAATAATAATATGAAAGTTTATAGGAAGTTGCATGTATAGCATATTAAATCATTATTTTTGCTTTTGATTATATACTTCTATATACTTATACTTATACTTCTATATGATAAATAATTTTTTTAACAAAAAAATATTTTATAATTTCATATCATTATATCTAGACGTAATGCATTTTAATTCAGAACTTAAAACAATTAAATAAATTAAACATAATGTCATTGAATGGTAATTTTGTATTGCATGACAATTCTGCTGAATAAATTATAGATCAAGTGATTGATGATATTCAGTATTACAATTTTTATCGAATTTTTTTTCTTAGGTTATAAACCTATAAAAATTGAATTATAAAAATTGAAGATTATAGATTATTTAAATTGAAGATATAAAATTTATAAAATTGATGCTATTTATATAATATAATATGTATAATATAATATGCTATAAAAAGTTATGCAAATATTAATATTTAATAAAATTTGTTTAAAATTTTCTTATCTAACCTCGAAAATTTATTAATTAATATAATATATAATTCAATTATATTTAATTATAAAAAAATTTAATGCATTTCATTTAAAAAATTTTGTATTTATTACAAAATATTATACTAATTTAAATATTCTTAATTATATAACAAAAAAAAATATATGATAGATTGTTAACCTTAATTGAATAATATTAATATTACATTATATTAATGTTAACGTATTGACATACACTTACACGAAATCTTGATAATATGATCCCCATGATATTAAAATTTTAAAAAATTGTTCCACAAAGAGACAAATTTTTTAGTTATCGAATATAAAACTGTTTAAACATAAAATGTCAAAATAAAAGATTCACGCAATTTTAAAATAATCTAGCCGGGCGATATCTATGTGCACTCGACCCAAATTTAAATCCCTCTGCGTTTTGTTTTGATATTTATAGATCGAATCATTTATAAACATTCTTTGAACGGCAACACTGTGTGATTTGTCATCATTTTTAGAAAAAATGAATATTTTATTTTCACCCACGAAATATGTATATAAAAATAATGGATGTAATGAATCAACAGATGTCAATAATTCTTTTTTTTCACTTTAAGACGAATAAACCAGTTGATCGTAAAAATATTATCTTCGATTCAAATATTTTACTTATACTGTATTATATTTTCGCATCCATAGTTCATATTCATGCCAACGAGCATTAACTAATCGCAATACCGTTCAGTTTGAAACTTCAAATCAAACTGAGGTTTATATGAACTATAACACTTATGTATAAGTTATTGAATATAATGTTTTAAATGAGAAACATCCGTTTCACGCACGAATAAGGAAGAAATATAGATAAATAAAACAATGGTAATTTTATTTAGAATTTATTTATAAAAATAATTTTTATATCATTTATTATTTTTAAAATAGTCTAAAATAATTTTAAAAAACTATATATGCATAAATAGAAATAAATAGAATTGTTGTATTATCGAATATATATGTTTATATTATTTTTATTAAATATAAAATAGTTAATATAATAAATTCTTTCTTATATTTTTATTTATTAAATCATTCATATTAAACACTTAATAATAAAATTTTTATTAAATAGTGTATTTTATGTACAAGATGATTCATTTTTTGAAAAAATTAATTTATACAGTTTTCAATGTGATATGTCTATTATAGTGAACTGCTTTTGCTGCCATATTAATACATTTATTAATATAAGGAATTGCCTGTTCGACAAGCATTATTTCTGTAGATGACATTTTAGGCAATCCAAAATTTTTTTGTATACCGCCTGGACCGAATTGCAATTCACTCGTAAAATATCGGCACACTGGCAAAACGTTTGATCGTACATAAGCAGAAGAAATAATGTTTTTAAAGCCACTAAGTCCTCCAGCAAGAGCTAGAATTAATTTGGCAGCTGCTGCTCCATCAGATAATGTTGGACTTTTCAATTCAATATTTGCCATATTTTTGTCCGCACTACGTAATGATTGTAACAACATATCTTGTTGCGCCTACATGAATTTTTAATATTCATGTTGAAAAATAGAGTAAAAAAAATTTTTTTTTAATACAATTGTAGATGATTATATTTTCATACATTGGTAAATCGATTAATTGGAGTAGCACACGATAAAAGAGGAACAATAGTATTTAAATCTGCACCACCAACCAGTGGGACTGATAAAAAGGCAGGATTTAAATCCAAAAGATTCGCGGTTAATGCTTCCATTCGCATACGATCAAGTGCTGTAGAACCAATAATTCTATCCGGATCCCACCATCCAGCAAGTTTGTAAATTTCTGATACTGTAGGAAGCGTAGCCGTAACTGGTCGAGCGAAAACAGCCACTAAAGATTCTGAATTAAATTGTGCCATTTGTTCAGCCATTTCACATACATATGGAGAGACAGCCTCAAATTGAGAAGAGAGATTTAAATTAATATTAGGATTTATTTCATCCATTAATGCAATAATGTTTATCTGAAAATAATATCAAATTCCGTGAATTTTAATCTTAATAGTAATAATATCATAATCACATCAATAATATATTGTTCATTATTCATTTATAATTGTTTAAATGATTATGATTTTCGAAACATTATGTTATAAAAGTAAAATGATAAAGATATACTTCTTTAAGAGCTTGTTTCAAATGTTTTCTCTTAAAGCATTTTATACGAGTTGATGTATCAATGTGATTAATATCTAAAATTGCATTAGCCAATGAATTTTTTGTGTCTACCACATGTATCTGTTTTATGAGACGAAATTGTTTTAAAAGAAGAGCCGCATACATCAATGATTCGCTGCCTCCTATCAAACAAACTTTTATATCACCTCTGCGATCTGGTAGAAAGGAATCATAATCTTTGAATTGAGATTTAATGTTAACATTCATTTCTTCTTTCGATTTTTGCTCATTTCCTTTATCCTTTACAGATTTCGCTTTTTCATCGTCAATCGGCATGTTTGAAATATTTCGATAAAAACGATGTAAAATACATTTCTCGAGAGATTTCAAAAGATATTGTTGTGTTCCAATCATGTTTAAATATTTGTCTTATATGAATCATTGACGATAATTTTTTATTATTTTCAAAATAGTAGGATGCGGGAAAGAAGAAAATTCGAAGAATAGGTTACTGACTTGAAAAATATTGATTGATTAAAGTATATAAAAAAACAATCGAGCGATTTCATACAAATCAAATGCTTTATAAATCTATATGTTAAAAATATAATTTTATTCTGTTTTATTTTTCATTATTGATTCTTCAAATTAATTGATTTAGATATTTTAATAACTTTTATATTTATTACTTATTTAAGATTTCAATTTTCATAAAAATTGTAGTTACAAATATAAAAATTTTTATGCATATTACATATCTTATAGTATTAACACAAAAAAATTAATAACAGAAACCATATAAAAAAAAATAGAAATTAATAAAAATTTTTTTTAACACATTGTTTATATACTTATCTTCAACATATAATAATAAAATTTTTGAATATGTAAAAGAGACTTATTTACATGTATAAAATTATGTTTCTATAAGAAGGTCAGACATATCTGGAAGAGATTGTATTTTTAATGTCTTTTCATTTGCTAAATGTAACAAAGATACAAAAGAAATAGGAAAACTTAAAGCTTCTATATTAGTTTTTGTTAATATATTAGGTAATGTTTTGTAAATTTCACTAAACGACTGATTTCCTTTAATTTTATTTTCTTCTTGATTTTTTTCTTTATTATTATTCACAGTTAGGCTTTTCCAAATAGATTTTTTTAATTGTCCCATATCTATTCTTTTGGCATATATACTATATGCAATAGATATTTTATTTGTTAATTTAGGAACAGCTACTAAATTATCTCCAGCAAAAGCCATTTGTGTTTCAATTTCGTCATTTTCAATTTCATGATTATGTTCATTTTTATTATTGTCTTCATTTATCTCATAACCATTTTTAAGAACATAAGGACAATAATTTGATGTGTCATTTTCATTATCATAATTATAATTCTCTATATCAGATATATGAGTAATATTTAAATCATCCTTATTTCTAATATTTATATGTATTAATTTATGTAGATATAATTTAACTGCATTTGCAATATTATAATGCATATCTCGTGGTAATGTCAGTCTTCCTTCTGACCAATCTAATTTGTTACTATCAAATTTTATAGCTTTACTTATTGCAAATTTTGGTATTACTGCTTTTTTAATGTTATCATCATAGCATATCTCTATTTCTTTTCTTTTTTTAATTGGCTCTTGTGCACAGGCTGCTATAATTTTTCCTTCTTTAGAATATTTTGTGAAATTACTCATTCTCCAATGAGAAGGACCAGCCCAATGTAAATTAGAACTTTTCTGAAGAAAAGAATATTCGGACGTTTTATTTGTATCAATATTAGATAAAACTTTACATAAGTCTACAATTTTTTCCACTGGTTTTTGTATCTCAATATGTATGTCTGTATTTTCCATTCCATCTTGAATATCTAAATAATTTATATTATCATGGATTATTTCATCATCAGATTGTACAGTAGCATTTAAATTAAATTGAAATTGGTTTTCATTAGTTTCGTTTGTATTTTCATTTTCATTTTTTTCTTCTTCTTTTTTTTCATCATTATCATTCTGAAATTTAAAATTAGTCAGAGGTGGACATATTTCTGACTTAGAAAAATCTTCTATCTTTGAAATGGCTATTTTTGTGTTTTCACTACTTGTTTCATGTTTTGCAATATCCACAATAACATCATTGTATAAATGTAAATAATATTTTGAATTTGCATGATTTGACAATATTACTTGATATAATCCATCTGTAGTTTGTAAATCTTTATCTTCCATCATCCACAATGAAGGTTTCATCATTTCTACAGTTCCTTTCAAACTATCTGCTGTACCAAAAATCAGTCTGTTTTTTTTTTTGTTCTTTTTTTCTGTTTTTGAAAATTATTTACTTGATTTTCTTGCTCATTATTTAAATATTCATTTGTATTATCAATTGGATTATTATCTTGTTTATCTGATGCTCCTAGCATCTTCATGATTTCTGTATGAATACCATCTACACGAAATCCATAAATTTTTGTGCTTACATCTAAAGATGTACTGGCTGTTTGCAGATTAGACATATTGTCATCTTCTCTTTTTATCATATAAGACATAAAATTAATCATTTCAAGGCTAAATGCATTTTTTATATTAATTTTGTTTTCAGTGCTAAGTTTTATACATTCACTTATATGATTTTTTACTTGAACTGATGACATTTGAGCTATAAAACCAAGTCCCAAAGATTTTCGTTTATTACTTGTGTTTATATTTTCTATTGATGCTATAGAAGCATTTATTTCAAGACGTCTAGCCAATTTCTCAGCTTCATCATTATTTTCTGGCAAATTAAAGGCTAACTCATTATGTATTTGAAATGATTTTCTTCGCAAAGATGATGAAGAATTTAAAGATAATACTTCCATTGGTTCATCTTTTTCCATTTTGCAAATTTATTAAAATAGAGATCACATATGTATATTTAAAATATTTTTATATATTCACTTAGAAGAAATATTACTTATATATTTCTCCAAAATATTAATAACAAACGTATTAATATTATAAATAAGTAAATTATGAGTAATATTGAAAATATGAAATATAAAAATTATTTATCATTTAACGAAGTGAAGTTGTTTATAATTTTTTCTAAATCAACTCTCATTAATCGTAACAAAGTATAAAGTTGTTGCAATTCAAGTTGCATCTGTCGGAGTACTTTCAATTCGTCTAAAAGTTCCTGAAAATGATACATTAATATTCATATAAATTTTGAAATCGCAAACAAATATTTTCATGAAAATACAGTGAAATTTTATTTTCACGTACCTTATCTGCCATTTGAAATACAAATTTTTAAAGTAAATATATGAAAAATGTTTAAAAACATTACATTAACATTACATATTCAACTCTCTGGATTTTCTTTTGAACAACCGAAAGTATATACATTCAAATAAGTTTGAATATAAATGTGTTCTTAAAACTATTTTATTTATACAATAATAATCAATTTTTGTTTTTATTTATATAACATTTTTGTAAATATATCTTATTAATAAATAAAAAATAATATATATATATATATATATATATGACTTTATGCTTCAATAATAAAGAAAACTAATAATTCTTATAAGAATTAAAGAAGCTAATCAGAGTTATCTTTTGATAGGAGAACAACGTATTTTTATATTGTTGGCAGTGCTGTTAAATGTGACAGGTCAATCTGTAAGAATGGCGACTATGGTGGAAGAACAGAATTCAGTTGATATGGGCGAAGATAAAGAATCACAGTAAGTTACAATATATTAATTGTAATGAAAAAATTATCTACAATTGATTTAAGATTATATGAAAATATTGAAAAATAAATATTATGATTATAATTAGGCTAAAGAAAAATAACCTAACGCATGACATTATTTGTTGGTCTTGCGATATTTTTTAATTTTTACATCTATTTACATTGCAGATTCGACCAAGTTACTTACAATTGGGTGGATATTACCCAAGAATTTTTCGATGCCATTACAGGTACTTATTTAAAAACTTATTTTCTTTATAAATTACAAATACTTGCTTTGCAATTTTTATTTCATTTCCTTTTTTTATATATTTTTTTATTTTATCATTTTCATATTCATTAAAACAATTTAATTTTAATTTGTACATTTATTTTGTGGAAATAATATGAACAATATTTAATGAAATATTTGTTGGCATTTAAATATCATTATTCATTTTCAAGAATTTTATTTATATTTATTATATTTATACTTATTAATAATATAAATTAAAAAATAATATTTTATATAATACAAAATACTTTTTTAATTATTATAGAGTTGGAATTGGGTGAACTGTTACGCGATGAGTTATTTGGATTATTTGAGGCCATGTCTGCAATTGAAATGATGGATCCAAAAATGGATGTTGGCATGCTATGCAATAGAGGCAACAGCAAACCTTGCACTTTTACACAAGCCGTTGATTCTGGTGCACTGAAATTGGACAATTTAACACCATCAGAAGTTATAGGAATAATAGATTCAACTTATGCGTGTATAGTGTCTTGGCTTGAAGGCCATAGTTTGGCCCAAACAGTTTTCACTAACCTATATCTTCATCAACCCAGTCAAATAGTGGATAAACCTTTGAAAACTTTTTGTTACGCTGTATATAAAATAATTGAAATAATTAAAGATTGCATTAATAAAGCATTAGTTTTTGAAGAAGAAGATTTCCAGAGTGTTACTTATGGTTATAGATTACAACAAGATATTACAGAACAAAAAATCATATCTATGCTCAGAGAAGTAGAAGATGAATTACCTAGAAAAAGTAGAATAAAACCAATTCATGTAATATCTGAGAAAGAAGTAAGTGTATATTTCAAAATATATTTAATCTTTTGGAATGGTTAAAAATATGAATAATTGTTTAAAAAATATTATTTCTTTCAGTATAGTGATAGATTAGCACTATATGCCAGAATTAGATTTACTAAATTATTTTATCAGATTTTATCATTAATGGGGAAAAAAGAACAATTGCAACAAAATCTAAATGATTGTCATACATTGTTATCAAGATGTTCTTATATGATTCAAATTATGATTAAAACAGTAAACAGTGGAGAAAAAGCTGATGAAATATGTAAGTTTCCAAAATTCATAGTTTATCTATATATAAATCATGCGTTATGTAAAAATTGTAGCAAATTATCCAAATATTATGGGATTTGATCCTATGGTAAATCAAAGATTATTACCACCGACATTTCCAAGATATACAAAAATAAAACCAAGATTAGAAGCATTAAAATATTTGGATGAATTATTGAATAGATTTCGAACAGTTACTATGATCACTAATCAGAATGGTTTTCATGCAGCTTTGGTAAGAAAAGATTTATAGTTCACTAGAAATTTTTGGCATAAATTCCAAGTACACTCTGATTTTTTTTTAGGACTTTTTTTTAGAATTTTCACGACAAAGTCCCTGTATATTATCCAGATCAATGCTGCAAATAGTTTATTTGCCTACAACAAATCGGGTATTTGGTGTACAAAATTTTGCTGATGTTTTGAAAGATGCAGCACGGAGTTTTATAGCGCCTCCAGTATTAATGCCAAAGAGCACACTACTTCAAAATCATCAAGCAAAAGAATATGTTGATAGTTTTATGTCTCATTGTGTAGGCCTTTTTGGCAGTTTATTGCAACTCACTGGTCATAATAGAGCAAGACAAAGAGATAAATTAGCACATTTATTGGACGATTTTGCAATATTGCAAGATGAAGTAAGATCAGGAATGAAATTATATAATATTTAAAATCTTTTATTATTGTAATTTCGAAATTTTAACAGGCAGAAAGAGTTGATGGATTTCTACACACTTTGTCATGGAAAAGTGATACACCTAGGTCACATTTAGCTTGTTTTGGAACGTGGATTTTGTATCATACATTACGAGTTATGGTCATGTATTTGTTAAGTGGTTTTGAATTGGAATTATATTCAGTACATGAATATCACTATATATTTTGGTACCTATATGAATTTCTTTATGGATGGCTTGTATCTGCTATCACAAGGGCCAATACATTCTTAATGGAACAAGATGTACATAATGATGCGCACAAAGGTAGAGGTGGTAAAAAAAGTGCAAAAAACAAGAAGAAAAAATCGACATCAAGACCATATAACTTAGAAATATTAATGTATCAAGCTATGCAAAATATATGTGGAGGATATTATAAAGTAAATACACGTTTGTTTTAAAATGTTATTATTGTATTTATAATTTAATTCTATCTATAAAATTTACTTTGTAGGCTTTAGTTGGTTTTCGAATGGATGGTAAAATACCTCTTCCTGAATCGCCATTTGATTCAGAACGAGTTCGATATGAACATAGGTTGTTACCTTTTTCTTCCTTACTGACGCCACCTCCAGTACATTATCAAGAATTCTTAGATATGACTAATGCACAAATGCATAAAAGAAACGTGAGTATAATGATCCTTTCTATATTTTTTTAACTTAGAATTTTTTTTCTTAACTTTTATTTTCCTAGGAAAAGGTTACTAGTGAAATGCTGTACTTAGCCGGCTGTCGTCATTTTCATCAAGCCCGAAATATGTTGGAACGAGCGTTGTCTCTTTATCCACCAAATGCTAGTACTGTGAATGAGGTAAATGAGTTTCTAATTTTTTTTAATGTTTTTATTTAACTTGTTTTATTTATTATTTGTTGATTTGATTTACAGATTAATGATCTATTAAAAGTGGCAAAGACAAATTTCGTGGTTCTAAAGTTACTTGCAGATGGACATAAAAAGGATTCTAAAGAACCTCCAGTATTTGATTTCTCGTGTCATCAACATTTTCCATTGATAAAACTGATCTAAATCATTTAATAATGGCCATCATTTCATGCTATAAATTACATACTATTTATTTTAGCTTTAATCGTACAAAAATATTTTTGTGTTGTTGACTTTGGATGCCTTTTTTTTTTTTTGTCTAATACAATCTTTAAAGCCTTCCCGCCTCCCCCTTTTTTGTTTTATTAACGATACATCCTTCATTGTACAAAATGTATTATTTATCGTGCATATTTTGTGGATAAATTTCTATGAAAAAATGAAAATGATATTTGTATATAGTTTATTATAAATCTATGTATGTTTTAAGTGAATTCATGTGAAGATTAAGAATGAATGCGTCGATTGTTTGAAGATAAGGTTCGTGAAATTTACAGATCGTTATGAAATGTAAATAACAAAAGTATAGAATGTATACTCTCGTCGAAATGTTGTATAGTAACACATCAATGAAATTGTTAACAGTTCTTCTTACTGATATCTGCAACATTTTGAATATATATATATATATATATATATATATATATATTATATATATATATATATTTATATATATATATATATTTATATATATCAGCTATATACATTCTGATAACAATCTTTTTTATAATAATATTCGATTAATCAAACGTGATTTAAGTTGTTTGCGTCTATGAGTATTATATTCCCTATATTTTAGGAAAACATGGTTTATATGTTATTAAATTCTGTATTGTACAGAAACGAATATTGTAACACTAAATCCAATGTAAACATTAAATTTCAATGTAAAATTAACAACTGAAAAATTAAAATACTTGTAAATCACAAAATTTATGTGAAAGAGTGATGTATGTCTAATAAAAACGATAATTTAACATGATCGTATTTAAATAACTTTATCCAATAATTATATATTATATTACATTATATGTAAACATTAACATGTAAACATATAAGTATTGATTTAAAAAAATGAATAGCATTTCTTTTGAACAAAAGCTACATTCATTATTGAATTCATTACTTTCTAATATCAAATCGTTTTAATTAAATGAATACTTTTCATTTATAATATTTTGGGCAATATTTAAAGAATTTCAAAATGGTATGTTACGATTCTGTAGAAATAGAGGATCGTAGAATAAAAAAACCTTATTTGGGAGGATGGAAGCATAAAATTACCCAAGTGGAATATTTAAATGCCGAGTCGCAAACAGGTCCATTAATGAGGAACCCGATAAAAGAAAAATGCAGCCAAAAAGTGCAATATATTTCTTGGACGGAAATATCCACGCAAACACCATATCATCATTCGACCCAGATGGCACGGTGCATATTTTTATATTATATTCTTAATATAGATAAAAAAAAAGTTAGAAAAATTGATATTAAAATAATATACTTTGGTTTTAATTATTAAATTTTATTAGAATATTAAAATTATTCGTTTTCGTTTATTTTTCGTTTATTTTTAATCGTAAATTTCTTTTTATCCTTTATTAATTCATATAATTTCCCTTCATTCAGACCAGATTGTTTTATATCGAGCGAATCGGATACATATAAAACATCAAAACCGTACGAAACATACGAAGAAATGATGAAACGATTGGACTACGATGGAAAAGCACGAATTATTCAAAAAAACTATAAGATATATAAATTGTGGAAATACGTTAAACAATATGCGAGACAATATCGAGAGCTTGTCAAACAATGTAAATTTTATGAAGCAGAAAATATATTGTTATACAGGTAATGTAATGTTTAAAATCTGTAAATGCGCGATCCTCACTTGAATGAATCAAAATGCGTAATATCCCTTTCCCATCTCAGGAAAAGGCATCAGGGTGAAATTCTTCGACGAATCGATCCCAAAACACGATTGGATTTCGATTTGTTGTACGATTTGGTCGAAAAATGGAAACGCGATCGTATCGAATGCACGAAACAATTTTTCTTCAAACCCGGAAGATGTGCAGAAAATTATATGATATTGGAAAAAATGGTGGAGATGTTGAATGTGATCGATCAGAAGAGGCAGGCGGTGAAAAAACGTTACAGGAACAAGAAACGCGTGAAATTCGTTACGGTGAATTGCAAGCCTATTCTGTGGAATGGCTACAAGAATATGCTGTTGGAAATGGATACAATGAGAAACCAAAAGGCGAGGGAATTGAAGACAATTTACGATTCGTTGACGAATTACAATGTTACTTACGCTGAACGTATGGAGATACTTACAATGCTGAAGAAATCGTTGGAAGTGCACAACTGCGTGCCCGCGTTCAATTTGATACGACTCTTGGACGAGGAGTTGACTTACTTGGCAAAGGGAATGAAAAACATGTCGTTGGACTACTTTCGCGAGAAACTAATTTGTAAGAAGAAGAAAAAAAAAAAAAAAAAAAAAAAGAAAAAATTTGTCTACGATATTCAAATTTGAAATAAGAGAAAATCGTTAATAAAATTTTCTTTCTTTCTCTTTGACAATATAGATGGTTATTTGAATTTCTTACGCTCGTCCCACTCGTGTTGTTGCGCAAACAACGACGAAGACTTTTGCAAGAACGTAGACGATGAGAAGCTTCGTGAACCAATTGAATCCAAGACGAAATTATGTTCCGGTTGTTTAAAATTGTTCCCCAAGCACAAATTTACTGTCCATGGAAGAATGAAAAAGATATATACTTGCGTTGGTACTATTTTTTGATTTCATTACACGTAATGGATACAACACAATATTTTACTTAAAAAGATATTGTTTTTTTTTTTTTTTTTTTTTTTTCCCCAATATGTTTCAAGGGTGTACTTGGCTGCGTGAACGGAATATCAAGCACATAAACTACGATCATTACGTATTTCTCTTAAATTCGTGCGTTCCGAGGAAAGAAAAAGAGAATCAACCTCTGCTATCGCATTCATTATGCAAAAGCACGACATGTACCATTTGGTGAATAATATTTGGCACGGACACTCGGCCGTTAGCGAAAATTCAGATCTCTTCTTATTACGAATTGTTCGATACGATATGAACGAGGAATGGTCACCGTGGAATTGTATTCTTTTGACGGAGGAAGAGGCTGCTGTTCATTCCAGAATCGAAAATCTAGCGGACGTATACTCGAAACCACTTATCGAACGAGTATTGTTGGCTCATCAGTTAGCGAAAAACCAATTCAAGTACGTGCACATAGTTTCGAAGATCGAGAAGAAGTGGAAATAAATATATCGATTGAACTCGTTGCAGGCACTTGAGACAGTTCGAGAAGGATTTCCGAGAAAAGTTTCATAAGATCAGCAGAGAGGTGACATATAAGCCGGAGATCAAAGTGGACGATTACCTCTACTCGTGATGTATTTCCTCGTGTCTAATTGCCCGTGTATTTTCACTCGTGAATTTCCCACGATACGATTTCTCATTGTAACATTTTCCCGATATAATCGAATTAAAACATCAATTTTCTCGAATGCATTTAGTCGTGGAACAAGTTAAACGACGAAACTTTTTTTTCCGTTAACAAGATGGATGATCTTCGTTTGGATTTCGTTTGTTGCGTTTGGCACAAGGGAAAACGATTAGATACGGAAAAGTTCGAGGAGCTTTTGCTTTCTTTCTAACAAAGGATATATAATAAAATCGAAAAATAATGGAGTAGAAAGTGCTTTTGACCGATCGACCAAACAGGTTGCCATTGGCAACGGTGGATTTAAGGTGGTTCCGACCTTTCAGACGGTGTAGAAGTCTCTTATATGGATTGCGTCGTATTAAAACTTCCGTTCGTCTTCTCTATCCGGGGCTTGTTTTTTCCTCCGTGATACGATGTTATTTCAATAAATCTAATAGCGGATTGTTTCAAGGCACGACATTGATATCGTTTACCTTTTCATCGTGTTCTGTATCGTGATCCTCTTCGTTGTTTGTTCAATTTGAATGGAACGAATTTACGATAAATTTCACAACGGGAGATCGCGATGAAACAAGCGATAAATAATGGTGGTGGTGGGATCAACAGAATCTGATAAACAGCAGCTTCGTAAAAATAACTTATGATGATGGTGTGAATCACGAAAAACAGAAGTGATTTCGAAACTGTGGGTGAGTGAGGAATACAAATTATATTTATGATTATCGCGATCGAGTCGAGAAAGAACGATTGCATTTTCCATATGTTGCATTAATTTACATTTGACATCCTTTGCATCTTTGTGGATTCGCTTTGATGAATTTTGCACGTAACGGGTTGGCAGTTAATTCCTTTGGGTCTGTCTAGCACGTGCAACGAAGCTAATTTTAAAAATAAATTAATGATTTATCATGTACGGGCTTTAATGAGAAGAATCATTTGTTATTCTCGTGCTCGAGATAATTGCAAATATCGTGTATTGTAATCAATGCATGTTACGAATCGATTTCTCTAGTTTTCCGACGATCGATGATGGTCGATTATTAACAAACCTTAATTATCATTTCTGCTAATTATTTGCCTCGATTCCAATGTGTTATCTTCCTTCCTCTTTTACTTCGATATCGAAAATGTTCTGTAATATTTTCTCGATTTTATCTTTTCTTTCTTTCTTTTTTTTTTTCTTAAATGTACAAAATATTTTCACTTAACTTCTTTATGTTGTTTCATTGTGGAGATCGAAGTTTCTCGAATATAAATTTTAAGTGAAATTTCATTCGCGGTTTCGAAATATATTGAAAGAATATTATTCTAGAATATTTATGTTTGATTTCGAAACGAAGAAAGGAACGTTAATCCCGACAGAGGGAGTGAAAAATCATTCCGTCTGGTATTCCAGTATGCTCGCAGGTAGAAGTTACATTGGCAATTCTCTTTTTGCATTTTTTTCGCACTCTGGTCTATTTACTTGAATATTTTCGCATTCGTGTCGTATCTTAGCAATACTTATTTTCGTTTTCACTTTAAATTATTCAGAACCGTCTTCCGCCCGTTCCGGGTAAATTTTTAAAAATAGCCAGAATAATAATTCACGAGAATTTCTTCTCGAGAAACCTCTCAATTTTGAAATATCTTGAGTCTTGTGTAAAAATAATAATTAAGATAAATAATTTTTTAATTATTTCCTCATCGGGTGTAATTTCTCGAAGATGGAGCACGAGAGTGAATTCGATAATAGATAGACGAACGAATAAATAATATTTTTCTTTAATTCGCTAATAAGCAAGAAGCAAAAATAACATACGAAAATCTATTCAAAGAAGATATTTAGATTCGATTCGGCTATTTTTGATTTCGCTTTTGTCTTCGTTCGCCAGAATCATGAATGTGTTCAGATGTAACTGCTAGCGATCCAATTAAACGGAATTAAATTTCAGTGTTCAGCCGGCCATAAACATTTAATAAGCAAAATGTAAATACTTAGCTCGCGGGAAAGAGGGGTCCCAGTTTACACGTGCAAAATGAATTCTCTGTTTATTCTACGTTTCGCGAATTATAATTAAATTACAGGCACGTCCAATCGAAAATCTGTATCATATTGGGCACATTGACGTTAAAACAAACCTCGAATGAAACTTATCTTTTCCACAGGCATACTTTAAAACCTGTCTTCTTCAGGATATACTTTTGCAATTTATTCTATCGTATTTTCGAATTTCAATCATTTCACGAGCAAGATGGAAGAAAGAAAAAAACAATTCACGTTAAAAGAAGAAGAAGAAGAAGAAGAATACAATTGATACGATCTAAAAATTGATTTTTCATCATATCCCTTTTTTAATTAAATGAAAATAGTAAATAATCGGTTGAAAAGAAAATATATAAATAAACAATATTTGCGTATATCTCTTACGTAAATAATCGTATTACGACGCATCAAATGCATCGACTGTGCAATGCATTCGCCCAAGTTTTACGGTTCCCGCGTTCTCGCTGCTGCACTTCCGCCCCATACCACGGAATTATCGAACGGATTTCCATCAGCCATAAAACCTTGAAGAATGCTACTCACCGCGGATGCTAAGCTCTGGCTGAACGACGAGGAATTAAACACTGGTTTGGGATTGAAGTAACAGGTCTCTATAACTTGAAATCCTGTCAAGGAGAACATTATAATTTATAATGTTCGATCTAGATTCGTACCAAAACATGGTTTTTTAACAATAAAGATCATCGTGTAAAGATCGATCGATATGGCGAAAACGTTTATACTTTTGCTGACTTTTCTATCCACTTATTCGTGAATTTATATTGGCAATTTATTTATGAATTCGTGCCGACCTATGCTCGTTTACGTTGTAAGATTTATGTTATGTACCAAGCGATCATAGCCGATAATAGCCGAATTTATGGCGATACCACGATGATTGACGTTATAATATTTACGGTTTGCACGGTTACTAATATGAAAGTTTACAACGCTTATGATCGTTTCATCGACCATTACGAAAATTAACCGCGAGAAAACATGTAAGTACATGGTGGATTACGTTGTTCGAAACTTGATAATAGCGTGGAAGGTAGCAACGCTTCGTGCAGTATTATATTTTCATCCCTTAATGGAGAATGGGAAGTTTTTCTTTTTCGAGAGAAATTGAATGTATATATAAAACTACTTTGAAACATCGGAATTGATCATCTTTTTGGGCTTGAAAATTTGAAAATCGACGATTTTCAACTTTCCTTTCACATTTTCGTGTATTAAAATTTTTCCGGATCTGAAAATAAGATAAGTAAAAATAAGGGTAAACAAGCGATAATTGATGATTGAAGAGATACGTACCTGCTTTTAATAGAGCGAACGTTTGTGAGGCAGTTTGCTTCATGAGGCTGCCAGCTTCACCAGAGAACATTTGCGCTTCGTGATTTCTAACATTACACTGCTGCATTTACATTACGTTATAGGCTTGCTAATGGCACGTGGTTATGTTTACAATGCGGCACGTGGCTCCTAATGTCACTGCGCGTTGTATTTACGCTCTGCCACGTGATCTTTGAATTTGCAATGCACCTTGTAACACTACCGAATCCTACTTACCCTTAATTTATTGCATTTCATGTATATATTCTCCGATTAGTTCAACTGAAAGAAAATGTAAAATGAATTTTAATCGTGAAGAAAAAGAAAAACAGATTTTCCTCTCTTGTTTCTTCCAGATATAATACATTTTTATAATACGTTTCTATCCACCGAATTAAGAGAAAAAAAAACCCAATCTCCTTCGTTCACGCGTCCATTGCTCGATTTGAAAATCAAGTTTCAAAATTTCAAATAGAAAAAAAAAAAAAAAAAGAAAAGGACAAAACAAGACTTCGATTCACCCAAGAAAGAAATCCATAACAGCGCAGGTAAACAGACTTCTTCGTAAGATTTCATAAAAATAATTTCACTATTATTCAAATTATTCCAAATCCTCGTGCTTAATTTTCATGTCGCGTTTTCTCTTCGCGTTATCCGACAACGCTCGTTTGGAATTGTAAAACGGCTGATGCGGTCCTCTGGGCGAATCTTTTAAACCGTGGCACAGTAATTTCCTTTACTGCCCGCATTACCATTATCCCCGGTTAACTTTCAGCCGGCGGTTATCCTTTCACGCTTTTTCTTTTTTCCCTAGCCGAACCCCGATCGACCGTGTGAACGCCACGAGCCGATGGCGGCTTTCGAACTTCTAAATGGAGGCCACGCCGTCCACGAGAACGAAACCGCCACCAGTCCTGATTGGGTGGAGGAGCAAAGTAACCGGGATCGTTTATCGCAACGCGTGTACGCAGACGGGAAAGAACAATCGATACAAGAACGAGAAAAGGGCGCAGACGGATTTCACCACGGATAAATTTACAAACACGAAACTGGACGTGGGTGTGCAAGCGTGTTTCTTCCCCGATATCCGCGACAAGATCGTGGACAGCCCTTTTAAGAGGGCGAATCTCAATGACGCCTCGAGCGAGAAAGTGTTGGAGAGCGTCGTAAAGATACAGAGGTTTTACAGGTGAGATACAGTAGAGAAGTAAAGTAGCTGATAAAATGTTTTTGAGGCGAGAGCTTTCTCTTCGTTCCTCGAATTAAAATGCATCCACGACGGTTGATTAAAATCAGTTTTGCTTTTAATCGTGATCCAACTTCCAGGAGAAGCGTTAAAACTCGTAAAAGCGGAAAATTTGTCCGTGTTGCTTCAAGTAGGTCAAAGGGAAGCGCTTTAAAACTTTCCCGTCCGTGCTACAATAATTTAACATAATACAGATCAATTAAAACCTCTCCAATTATTACTTCGATCAACTTAAATAATTTTACAATCCCCCAACTTACAATACTTAAGTACTTAAGCGCTTGGAGCTTCAAGCGCCTCGCCTCGAGCTTCCATCCGAGCGAAAGGATTTCCAAGGCAATCCTCCTCTCTTCCTCGCCTCCCGATGAAAAATCTCTCCAATCCCCGCAAATAAGCCTCTCTACACCTACGAAACGAAACAAAATCACGTGGCAACACCTGTTCAAACGATGCCCGCAGAGCTTACCGCGCTCGGCAAACCGCGATCACCTCGCCGAGCGTTTCACCCCGCGCCAAGGACGAGTTGGAGCGGGAAACGGAGTTGGAGAAGCACTGGTATCGCAGCCAAGATTTCGTGATACTAAACCGCGTGTCGCCGAGTACGAGGGCGGATTTCGAGCTGTTGTACAATCTGCTCGATCGTTGGCGTATCCAGGAGACGAGGAGGGCGAGCGAGCAGCTGTACAAGCCTGCCAGGATCGCATTCGGCGGTCTGATCCTGTCCAAGGAGGTGGAGTTGCTGCGAGCCATAGACTCGATGAAGGCCAAGGTGAATACGGAGAGAAGGGAGAAATCTTATAGGAAGTTTCTCGACGAGCTGTGCAGGCCCGTCGTTTGGAAGAATGGCCGAGGGGAGCCGATTAAGGTGGACACTGTCCTCGTGCAGAGGGCTAAACGTTTTCGAGACACGTTCCAAGACTTGTCGAGGGGGGGCGCGAACGTCAACGAACGATTAAAGACGCTGACCGAGTTGAGAAAGGACGTCGAGGCTCACACGTGCGAGGAATCGGACGAGTTGATGCGTTTGTTGGATCAAGAGATATACTTTCTCACTCACAGAGTGGAGGAGAGCAAGTTGAATTGGTTGAGGAGCGGCCTTAACATGGCTTTTCTTAGGTTGGCTAGAGAGTGTCTGAGAAAGGGAGAGCAGGAATCAAGCTTGTCGATCCATGCTTGCAGAACATGTTGCGGCAGACCGTTGACCGTGGAAAAATTTCCACGCGAGGGACGTTCCTCTTCGTGCAAGTTGCTCTGTTTGAGAGGACCTCGACTCGTGTACCAACCCTATCAGAGACTGCTTCGCGATATCAGACGGCGCGAAATTAAAATGTGTTGTTACAGCAGCCTGGCTTTCGCTATCGACGCGAGGATCGTTTACCATTTAGTGAACGAGATCTGGGACGGGAAATCGGCCATTTCCGGGAACGATTGTTTGGAAGAGTTGAGATTGGTGAGATTTAGGAAGGGGGAGGAATGGACACCGTGGAATTCTCTTTTGCTAACTGCCAAGGAAGCCTCGTTGCATCGAACGGCCGACGATCTCGAGAAGTTTTACGGGACGATGATACTGCAAAAGTTTCACACGAAGAATCTTCAGGCTAAAGTTCGGTTCGAGTCCGTGACTGAATTCAAGAGTCTTTGCGGGAGGAGCGAATGGTGTTTTTAAAGGGTTCTTCTTATCGTTGTATCCTCGGCGAGTTAATTGATTGACAGGTCGTGTTCTTGAAATAAAAAGTTGGGATTTTTCGAACGAAGAGAAAAATATGAGGCTTTGATGATGAAGAACTTTGGTTGATTAATTGCACGGTATATTTTAGATGTATAAGAATGTGTGAGATGTAAAATATATCTCGAATAAAACGAAATATTCTGATAATTGTCTAAATTTATTTAATATTAGATACCTGTAATTGTAGATTTTAATTTATAATTAGTAGATTTTGTTTAGACATAATTACGTTTATTTATTTTAGAGATTAATATATTCCTTATATAGTATATTTCAGGAATGGTCGACAAACAATTATCGTAATTTTCACACTAAGAAGAGAATTTGTTTTATAGTTTTATTCCCAATTACAAACTCGCGGAAATCCAGACGCTTTGTTAGGTATGAAACGTGCTAGGTATTAAACGTTAGAGAAGTTGGTACCTCGTTTTCCATTTACCTGGCTTCTGCCAGTTGGCTTTGCACGCGTTGATAGTGCGAGTTAATCGCGCCACAGTTTATAAACTAAGTTTCCATCGACCAAGAAAAGAGCCGGTGACAGTTAACCCTTTATAATCCCTCGTATCTTCCTATATTGTGCGTTGTGCGAGACTTGGCGCGAAATCGCACTTGAATATTGACACCGTGATATTGGAATATTGGAGCACAATTGTATTTACGATCGTAATGAGATCTGGAAGATAAGTCGAAACGATGAATCGATTTTCTCGCATCCGAAGATAAAATAACTTAATTTGTAAAAAAGGAGAATTAGAATAATTCTTATTAATCGGTGCATACAAAAATTGAATTGAATTTTCGACAATTTTACAATCTAATTATCTTTAACACAGAACACTCTCGAACATTCTCCCGTTTTATGAAGATAAAATAAAAATATCGTTATGGTTTAAGAAAGAGAAATAATAATAAAATGAAACGCCTTGTGCTTTATTGTAAGTATCAACGCCTACGTAAAGATGCCAATTTTTATTTCGTCAAGAAACAATGTGTCGCAATGCCAAAATACTTTATGATTCACATTTAAAATTGCAACTCTATTTATGAAAATTTCTCATTCAAGATATCAATTCGCAACACAGTAAGTATAAAAGATTTTAATCGTAATAATATAATAACTTTGTTAAAATTGTTTACCTTTTATTCCCTTCCGGAATGTAAATTTTTACGTTCGATTATTTTTCATTCAATGGAATTATATCTGTGCAATTTCTACTTGCAGAATAATCGAAAATTAATCGAATCGAAAATAGGATACGAGGAAAATTTTTATTAGATCATAATCTTCTTTTCAATATTGGACGACGTCGCGCGCGATTTACTCGACAAATACATTCACCGAGGACCGCTTTGAGTCCAAGATCTGATGAAATCAACCACTGCTTATCATTGGTCAAATACTCGCCGATGTCATAAATTTCAAATACGCGGTCCAGTCAAAGCGTTTCGCATCAAAGCGGCCAAATCGATTATATAATATCATCTCTCGTATCGTCTCAAACGTTCAACATCTCTTAAACGCTCCATCCGGTATCTACGTATTGATCGCTTCTTTAAAAATTTTCATCGATTTTTTTCGAATCTTAATTTAAATCCAATTTTTATTTGTCAATAAATTGATCTAATTATCCGTTATTCAATGTCGCATCGAATTTGATAACAGGTAATAATAGAAACGTTGTATAATAGCTCTGTACATTGTATCGCGTTTACTATAGACAGACGGTTAAGTAATTCAGGATCGCACGTGATCAAACGTCTAGTTTAATAATAAGACGATTATACGCAATATATACGCGCGTTAGATATATGATAATTATATATTATATCGTGACATCTATGCATTATATCGAATGTTCATTCGTAAAATTAAAGAAACCATAATAAAAACGATCCTTGTTTAAATTCAACATCATAAAGTACGACTTCATAACTCGATTACAATACTCCTCGATACAATTAAAATAACGATTAATGTAATATAGAAATTATATACTAAATACGTATATTACAAATCGTGAAAATTTAAATCTACCAAATAAATATTTTTCTGAAAAAAAAAAAGATAGAACGAACTCTTCAATTTCGCAAATCGAAATTACACACGTTCGATAATTTGCAAATTATCTCGTAAGAAGGGAACGAGACGAAAATTAAACGAGCTTTTCAACGTTGCTGGGGACCAACATTATTACACGAAGAACTCTCGAATACATCGGAAATGAGCGATCTCTGTAGCAATGTTTCAAACTATCATAAATTACTTCCTGCCATTTCGCAATAATGTTGGCCGAAGTTTAACACAATTTTGGAAATTGCGAGTTTTTCCTCCCCTCCCAAGATAAACGTTCGTCCCTCGAACGAATTAAATCGTACCACGTGGATTCTAAACGGATGCCGCTCAGACAACCCAGTTTCCGTCGTTTCCGTGGATGCATAAATAAGCAGGAAGAAGGAAGCCGGCCATTCGGGAAAGAATTGTCCGAGTCGGTGAATCGAGTCGGCCCACCAACTTCCCTCCCTCCCCAGCCAAGTTTTCGATTACTCGAAATTATGACGTTCTTGCTAGAAGCGGGACGAAAGGAATCCCCACTCGTTCCAATCGTATTCGAGGGAATATTATCGTCGATTCGTTTAATAAAATATTAATCCTCCATCGATTCTGATCCCTCGACGGGGATTTATCCCGATAAACGTGGCATTTTAAATGCTCGGAATCGCATTACCGATACTTCGACGAACTAATTACGCCGAGGCGAAAGGGGAGGAGAGAGAAGGGCTGGCAAGAAGTCGTTTCGCAATTACCGAACGTAAACTCCAATCTGCTCCCGATTTAATCAGCTGCCACCAGCCTGCCGCGATTTTGATCGCTCGAATCCGATCCGATCGAACCGTTAACTTTTATCGTTACTTTCATTATTCCTCCAGGATGAAATAACGAAAGAGGAGGAGACCGTCTAACGTTGCCAACAACGATCCGATACGTTACGTTTAATGATGAGATATGACCGTCGATGGATTCGAGTTTTCAATTAATTAACCCATCGAATGGGCGACGATTAATCATTTTGTACGGCCAGCCAGAAAGGAAACTAATAAACCCCGAAATGGGGTTGCGGTAACGATTAACTTTGATCTTTTTTCTTTTTTTCCTATTCCTCTCCTCCCCTCCCTCCCTCCTTGTTCCGGTTCGAGCCGGAACCGGAGGACCGCCGGAGCCCCGTGACTAATAACGCGACAAATCGTTATATATCCCAACGCACGGATTCGATTATACGCTCCCTTCTCTCCGTGGGGGGAGGGATAACATGGTAAATTTCAACTTTCTACCGATACCGCCCATGTGTCGAAACTTTACCAACGATTAATCATTTCTTTCGATTGAACAACACCGAGGAAAGTTAATAAACCGAAAAATCGGCGCCCCTCCAATCATCAATTTAAATTTGTCACGGGTTCACTGACCGTTTTAATGCCCTGTCATCGGGATGATGGGCATCGGAATGGGCCGGGATCGATTATCGCGAATAAATTGAAATAAATTAACGGCAGAAATTATATAGCGTGGCAACCAACCTTGATTACTCGTAATTTAATTATAGAATATTCTCGAAATATTCGTTATATGACAATAATAACGGGCGAGAAGCAGCGCGGGAGTAGGAATGGATAATTATACGAGAGCGATGCCACGATTATTATTAATTTTCTAAACTATGCAATCAAAATACCACGATGCTGGAACGGTATCCCCCAGAGTGTTGGGTTAAATTACATGCCGGCGAGTGTAATTTTTTGTCCGTTAATGAGAGACGATTAATGGAATTTTTTCTTTTTTTTTTTTCCTATCCACGGAATCGGTATTCAATAGGCCAACATACGAGACAACATACTTGATGTTATCGAGGCCGCAAATTTTGGCCGCGTAGCACTCTCGATGCATCGTTAATGAGTTTTATAGCCGTGGACACAAAGCAGAAAATCAACACCGCTGTTAAAACGTTTTTGGAGCCGCGTTAATAGACCGATTCAATGACGAGTTTCCTCCAGATAGACTGGTTCCGTTGATCGACCGATTAATTTATTCGTTTGGAAATCATCACGATATACGTCAATGAACTTTAACTTCGGGGCGATAAGTTCATTTATTATTTATACCGATTTGATGAATTATGGAGAACGAATAATCAACGGTAATCTCGGCGACCTCTTCGAATTAAAACACACCGCCGAAGTATCATTAACGAATCGTTCTTATTTAAAAACAAATACAAAGTTCCATTTTATTTTATTCCTTACCAAACCTACTGCGTACTTTCTCATTCGAGAATAATTCCTCCACGATATATTTCGGGAGGAACTCTCGCTCAACATTTTCCATCATATCCTCTCTCTATCTAACTTTAACTCACGTAAGCCACACAATTCGTTCGATCGCAAAAAAACTTGTCAATTTACTCCCTCTAACAAAGCCTCCATCACGAAACACACTTTCAGCAATCTCTAATCAAAAACCGAAGAGACGGGATCGACAAACTCTCGGCATATTCGAAACGGTCGAGCATTGATCGAACCGCCCTCCTCGCGGAGATTTCGCGATGGATCGTCGCGACCAAGTATGCAAAATTAATACGAGTGTCTAGGACAGGGAAAGGCGGGCCGAGGTTTGCACGCAGGTAACGCGTGGCGTGGCAGGAAAACACGGGCAATTCATAACACGGGCGTCGCATAAATTGCGGGTGATATGTTGGCGCGCAATTAGGGTTTGCTAAATCGGCATTACTAATTAGATTTGGTGTACCGAGGTCGGCTGGCCGACCGAGCCGCCTCCTCCTCCTGCTGCGTATAATTGATTCGAGTTTCGAACTAATCTATACCCTTGGCCGCCTCTCGATGGTGATCGATAATCGTTCGCGGGAGGGGTAAGAAGTTTGTCGCTCGCGCAAGAGCTCTCGGGGGGAATCAGCGTCAAAAATCACGCGAAATGGGAACTTGCTCGTGGGGAGATCGAGGGTAAGCCTCCTGTGTCTGGATCTAAGAGCGGCTGATTGTGCAGGAAGTAGGGAAAAAGTACCGATACCGGATCTTATACGAAGAATTCTTCTTCTTCTTCTTTTCCCT